GGCGAGTGGGGGCCCTGCCGGTTTGGTCCTGCAGCGCCGAGGGGCAGCGCTATGGGTTCATTGGGGCAGTCCCCCAGCTGCTCTGTCCCAGGCGTCCCCAAGAGCAGCTGGAGTGCTGCTGGGTTGGTGCCGTAGCGCAGCCCCTCGGCGCTGCGGGACCAACCCGGCAGCACCCAAGCTGCTCTATTGCAGCCATCCCCGATTCAGCCACTGCTGAAACTGACCAGCAGCGGCTGAATCAGGGATGCCTGGGGCAGAGCCAGACTATCGTAAGGGGGGGCTATGAGGGGGTCTGGGGTGGCATCCCCTCCCACCCCACTCCAGACCCCTCATAGCCCCCCCTTCTGATAGTCCGGCATATCTGATAATCCGGCACCCCCTGGGTCCTAAAGGTGCTGGATTATCGGAAGTTTACTGTACTTGGAAGCTCAAAATTAAGGTTTCATAAAACCCTATGGGTATGTCTACACTTGCAGCCTATTTCGGAATAGGGCTGCAAATGTAGGAATTCAGAATTGCAAATCAAGCCCAGGATTTAAATATCCCACGCTTGATTTGCATCTTCCCGGCCAGGTGCCTTTTTTTTTTTTTTTTTTTTTTTAAATTTACAAGCCCGGAATAACTGCCCACGTCTACACTCAGCAGTGAAACGGGCGTTCGAAATAAAGCCCTATTTTGAACTACCTGTTGGATCGTAATAGATGTTATTTACATTATGAACCAGAGCCAAAAAAAATCATAAAACATCTGATACTCAGGTAAGCTTCATAGCTCTGGTTCTTTATACCTTTGCAGACCATTCTGATTTACTGGCAAAACTATGTTTTATGGTCTACATTGGAGATGTGGATGAGGTACGGTTTCCCAGCAAGATAAATGGCTATTAGGTGCTTCAGTGGGGCACAATAAATGTCTCTTCTTCCATCCGTGACTGCCAAGATATTATGTTCTCATTAAATTGATATCTACTTACAACTTAAATAGCATGTTAGATCTTATTTTTGTCTATTTTAGTTCTTTAGAAATTGAAACTTCAATGTGTGAAAAGCCTTTCAAGGCTTCTGTTTTCCTCTCAGTACAAAGACAAAGTCTCTTCATAGGTCAGGTCATAATCTTGGTTTCTGATAAAAACCTGGCTTTACACCTGTTTTGTGAAGTACCAGAAATGAGATCCACATAGCACAACTGGTACACTAGTTACAAGTGACCTATACGCACACTTTATCTAAATAGGCATAGAAAATCTCCTCCTAGTGCTACAAAATATTTTCTGGTGGTCAAGGAGAATCATGTGCAATTGACAATTTAGAACCTCTCTGCCCTGCAAAACCTGTTCAGACTGGTGTTGTGACTGCTTATAATCAAAATTTTGTTACTTTTCTGAGCAGTCACTGCAGCATTTTCTTTGAAGGGCATTCCACATTAATCATTTGGGGAGATTTTGATTTCCTTTCTCCCAGGGTAAATTATTCAAAAAGATACAATTCCTTAAACTGTCCGAGCTCCCAGGGGAAATGAGATAATTAAGCCAATCAAAGACTATACTGGAACTTGGATTCTGAGAAGATGCAAGTCTGTAAAACCAAAGACCACCTGTGCCACAGTAAACTAAAGCCCTGATCTTGCAAAAGAATTTAGACAGACATAGGGTTTGCCAGTACTTTTAGTGGGATTGGGAATTAACATTTAGTTTACCTCAGTTCTTTAATCCTGTGATCTACAATCAAATTATTGTATTTCTGCTAATTTTAGTATTTTTGTTTCTAAACATGAACTAATATTAAACTACAATATATGCTTTATAGTAATAACAACCCAGTTTTCCAGTCTCTGACAGATGTAACAGACTTAAAAAGAAACATATTGACTGCAATTTGTCCAAAAAACCCTCCACTAGATGTCGTGGCAAGCACAAGATTAGCTGTACTGAATGCACTATATGCTGAAGCATGTTCCAATTCACAATCTACTTAATTTAACAAAGCAACTAACCCTATTACCTTCTTTTTGCCTCTTCATATTGAAGACTTAGTCGGACTTTTTCAGCTAAATTTGATCTACTTTTCACTCCAATCTGTTGAGAAAAATATCAACTTTATTATTGTACAAGACACATCCACAACACAAAGCAAATGCATGTACTATAGAAATTATTTAAAATGGAAACATGCCCAGTTGCAGCAATACAGCCTGCCAACTATTTTTCAGTACAAGGTCTAATTAATACGCTACACAAATTCATAATGCAAAATGGGCTTTTTATAATGTTTGTTTTTGTTTTCTCTTGCTAAATTGATATGAGGGCCACATTCAGCTCTGCTATAAGCAGGAGTGATTCCACTTGAAACCCTCCTTTGAACTGCATTGATTTCCCCCAAAGTTCTGACTTCAGTGGAATTCAAAGAAGAACTTCAATGAAATAGCATCTGCTAAAGACACATCTAAGTTTGGCCCTTATTTGGAAAGCCTAATACAATCTTCCTGTTAGCTCAAGGAAAATGCCAATGTTTGATGCACGTTTATGAATGCAAACCCATGGTAGGTGTCCAGGTTACTGACATATGGAAGCTTTTAATGACTGAAAGGTTAATTCCACCAACTGATTTTCAGCTGGACAAAAAATAAATTATTAGGTACATTTTGAAATCCTGTTTTTGAAAGGGATCAGCTTTAAACTTAACCTCTACAGTACTTTGTTTTCACAGTATGTTTTAAGATAATACAAATAAGTAAGAAATACTACCCAGTTATAGAACTGCTCATCTCTATTATGTAGGAATTGTTTGATAAAATCATATTTTATATAAGGATTAATGGCAGGGATGTTAACTATTGTTTATTTATGTAAACGTGTTCTCACTGGAAATTTTAGCAGTTACATGTTTACACGGGGGAGGGGGGAAAGCAGCATGGGGGGCAGGTGGCTTTGCGGGAGCGGATATGCACAGAGAGCTCGCTTGAAAGCTGGCTCGCCGTATGTGATGGCTTCTGCGGAACCACCTTGTCCCCCTCCCCTGCATCCCACAGAAGCAGCAGCATGAGAAGGGGCAATCAGGACCCCCCATGCACTGCTGGCTCTGTGGGAGG